TTTTAACAGGTTTTTGAAGAAGCAGCAAAAGTCGTGGTTCAGCCAAACTACAAGAGAAATCATAAAAAGAAAAAATGCATACTGTTGTGAATGGCAACCAAATATTAATTACAACAATTCTAAGAGAACATGACTTGTGGGATGTTTATATTAAAGCAAATACATACACTATCAAAGTTAGCATTTTATACTTATATAATTAATTCAAAACGTAACAGCTTTAGATGGGTGTTTGAGTATATCTCAAAACATGCTCAAAAGATTGTCATTGTCAGTATTCCATTCAAAATTAGGTAAACATGATAGTTTAGTAAATATTCATAATAATCAGTAGTGCTAAATAAATATAATTTGCAAAGAAAACTGATAGATATAATGTATTTGCTCTATTAGTAACATGCTCTTATGTCACAGGTGTGCATATGAACAAAATCCTGTTTTAATGACCCTGTGTCCAGTAAGTGCAATTTTGAATTAAATGTGATTTTATTAAAGGTCTATTTCTAATAGAACAAATATGGTAACTGAGATTGTGTAGAGGTCATGTGATGAAACGTTGAAATCTAAAAATAAAGGTTTTCAGAAATGCTTCACTTGTCATTTTAGACGAGTCACAATCACGCGAGTGATACCAGTTTTGTGTAATCTCTGAATGTGCTTAAAAAAATAACAATCAAGTACTGTAAAATTAACTATTCACTGGGTTTAAAATTCAGGCATATTCAGTGAGTTTAAAATTCACAGTTTTATCATTTAGATAATGTGTTCTATGCTAAATTTTACATATTCACTGGGTTTTAATTTAGCGCATTTTCCAGTCAGCGAAATAAGTAAAATTAAACCCAGTGAATAATTAACACTTTTACATTATAAAACAAAGCCATACACAAGAATTTTATTTTAATGCAACTTTCATTATTTGGGTTATGCGATGGAATAGGGAATGCTTTCGGGAATTTGTTTTTGCTCAACATTAAATTAGAGTGCATTGTGAAAAAAAATGTTTGGCGCTTAAATGAATTTTGAGCATATCCAGCCTAATTATAATGGATATGGTCATCAGAAATATACGTCTACAAATGCACATTTTCTCCTACATTATGCCCAAACAAAATTGCTGCAAGTCTTCATAATGAACCATCTCCATTTAGAACTTTCAATGTTAGTTTATAACGAAAATGTAAATAACTTTTCATCAGGGCTGACAATTAAGTGAAGATATAATATTGTATCATTTTTAGCCCTTTTTTATTATTGGAATATGAATAAAAATTTTGTGGCTATTTTATCAACTATTGACTCATTTTATTATGTACATGTAATAAAATACTTCATTCAAATATTGATTCACGTCATTTTGCTTCTCAGATGAGATTCAAAATGGCCAACAAATGCTGTTCTAGAGCAATATCTGACATGCCTTGACCGGTCTTGTTCAAACCTTGTATATAAGTCAAGACACACAAATTACTTGTGTATTAACTGGACAATTAAATTCAAGATGGCTGAACGGTTTTAATGTGAAAAATTCATCAAAATCAAGCATTTATTCCATTCTGGAACCAGATCTTAGTTGTGTATGAACAGATTTTGTTCAAACTTGGTATGTACATTAAACGTTATGCAATCTATGAGATTTGTCAGATCAGACTTAAAATAGCTGACTGGTGGCCATTTTTTTAAAAGTGAATGCAGTTTTAGAGCCATATCCAACTATTTTTGTTCAGACTATACTTTTCTTAAACTTGACGATCACAGGGAATATGTAATGCAATTACTTAAACTATAATTTTGACTGGTTAATACAGGACACAAGACCACACTATAGAAGTCGAAATATTTTTGAAGTCTTTAAAAAAAAACAAGAGATATTTATTCCCATTTAAAATGACCACTTTATTTAACCTCTGGGTACAATATGTCACAACAAACCCCCAATCACTACACCCATCACAATTCATAATATGTACATCCTATGACAACCCACCAGTTGACAATTTAAGTAGATGTATATAAATATTTTATTCTGTGATATTTGACCATTCAACACCCCATAGTCATTGTTGGCAAAACCATACATATTTGATGCCTCGCTAAATTGCAATCAGTTATTGATATAAATGCGACTCGTTCACAAATACCATCAAGTCTTGCATCGTCTCTGAAAAATTGTAGCCACCATCCATGTTATCTGAATTTTAAACTCCGGCCAACTATAAAACTAATACCAGACACCATTGGTACAGTTTTTATAAATTTGTGCAGATTGAAAAACATCAATCTGATACAGGGTATAGACTCTAATTTCTTTTTTCCATTTTTCATTCATTGTTATTTTGGTTTATTGATGACTATCTCTGTGGTTTTATTTGCTATATTAAGCTTTTTTTTATAAATCAATAACGGCAAAACCCCCTAAAAAAATATCAGTCATAAATAAAGTAAAATATTGAAATTATCCAAAAATTTTTAAATAATTGGAGCCTATTCCTATTCCTTGGATTACAATCAGATTGGGAAAACATCACCATGTTTTATATGCCTGAAATAAGTGTCTCACTCAATCCAGGCTGTTTTTTTGTTTTAATCAAGTTTATAAGTTCTTTTACCCCCTATTTAGAACAGAAACATGAATCAGTATTTTGTGAAGTGGTTAAAATATTGAGTAAATTTCCCATTTTTCATTATGTGAACTGTATCTGACATATAACCCCAATGACTTATAGTAAATATAAATCTTGATGATACCAGAATAAGTAATTCCTGCTATCCTACTGTATTACACTACAATTGATAAATCACAATGCATTTTTGAATGGTTATTGGTAACACGCAATTTGAGTAATTGCACACTCTTATGAGTGGAATGCAAACCATTCTACGGTTGGCACACATGTTACATACTTCAACATACTGGTGTTCATTAAATAATTTTGTAGTAGTACTGTTAGCCATAGTGATGCTTAACATAAGCCAACAAGCCTGACTAGTGCAAAGGAGCAGTTTTCGGAGTTATGTACTGGTATCAGTCCCAAATAAGCTGACACCAGATTGGCAGCATAGTATATTGCATGGCTACAACCGGTAATAATATAGAGCCACATGAAACCCAAGTGTTTAACTTAATTCCACTGTTGCTATTGCTCAATATAAGGTATTTCTAGGGAACCAAATTTGTCACCCTTTCTTTCTTAAAAGCTAGTGATTTGAAAAAGATTGTCACATTGGTTTATATTGTTATGAGACAGCACCAGACCATCTTGGTAGGTATCCACCCCATCCTGAAGACTGTCCACTGCTTTCAACTGTAAAAAAACAAAACAAACCAAGTCAACTACCCATAACATCTTATTGGTAGCATTGACACATGACACACAATACACTATATAATCACAGTCCTAACTAGGAATTCTGGAGGGCAATGACCGACAAGTCTGGTCAGGCAAATGACTGACTGCCTGACTAGAGAGAGTCTGGCCATGTCTAGGGAGTCTAATCAGGCCAATGACTGACTAGGGAGTCTGGCCAAATGCAAAAACTGACAAAAACGTTTGGAAAGGTAAATGACTGACTGGAAGACTGGCCAGGCCAACAATAAACTTGGGGAAAGGGTTATTTACCTTCAGCAGCAGCACAAAGTTTCTCATTTTCCTCTTCACTGAGTCGTAACATTGTGTTCAAGACAGGGATTAATTGACGCTTCTCATCACAAGGCTGCAGTGTTATGAACTGTAACAAAGAGAAACATAAACACATTACATGAAGTACTCCAGTCAATGTTTGATAAAACACGAGAACTCACACAAAGCTCACTAGTGAAAGCAGTCAACTGATATTATAATTCACTTAAGATAGAATGCTACACAAGAACTTTTACATATGTCACAAGGACAAAGAAAATGGAATAAAAATATTTTATTTTTAATTCAGAGAAAAGCGATGCACAAAATGATGTGAAAATAGCATGTTTTGTCTGTTTTAGGGCATTTTACCATTGTGTCCTATGAAACGGATATATCAACAAGCCAAAGAATCAAAGTAAATGTGTTTTCATTGTGGTCTATGGAAACCATTGCTAAAATGACATTTTATGCATATCATTGTAGAATTGTTCTCCAAAAACAGATTGACAATGAAATAAAAACACACGGTACTGTTGATTAATACATGTACTTAAAATGAATAATTGTGGTTAGATTTTGACACAAAATATTGCTACTGCCATATGGGCTAAATATGTACACATGTGAAAAAAACGTGCGAGTACTTAAATTGCCTATTGTACCTGTTGTAACTAATGTGTGTATTATGGGCTGGGAAAAGTACGCATTTATGGTGACGTAATCAAACTGAAATATCACCAGCAAATGGTGTATTTGAAAACATGCAGCCTTTGGATGTGAACATTGCAATCAATTATCATCAAGAATTATTACCTTCATAGTAACATTTTTCAAATATTCCAAGTTAGAAACTGATTTATCTCGTTCTTGATTTCTTTCTAGTCTTCGGATTTCACCTTTCAGCACCTTAGCTTGCTCAGTGAGTCTCATGATTGTCGCTTCATTATCATTTGTAATCTGTTGATACAAAGATACTCAAAAATGAACATTTAAGGACACAGAAAGATAAGCAGCCATTCTTGATTGAAGACAGGATACAACTGTGAACACAAGTTATTTACTAAACAAGCATGGAAAGCCCTGTTCATCTGCGAAAATTATTCTGGACACAATTACAGACTGCGAATTTTGGATTTCAGACAAAATGACTGTCACATGAAATTACACAACTACATATTACCGGTAGTATACTACTTATGTACAAACTTTCAACTGAATCATGCAATATATTAGTGACGAATCAGCATGCACAACAACAAACAAAATGGTCATCAGTCGGACATTTTTGTTCGAATCTTGAAAAACAAGACATGACATGTCATGTCATAGCCCCCGCTCAGAAAAAATTTAAAAACTTATATTGAACTTAGTTTGTGTCAGAGTGAATTAATTCATTATGAGCTGTATTAAAATTCTGTTATTAAATGTTCAGAATTGATGTTTTACAATTTTAGGGGGTGGGGTAAAAATTTATTCATTTGGCTTTTCTGAGACAATTTATAACTTGTTAAACATATAATGCGATGTGCACTTGTAAACAATTATTACCTGTCCCTGTACCAACTTTTAACAAAACTGGATGACATAACCGAGAAAAAGCTGTTAACAGCTAGAAAAAGCTTGTTTTTTT